GCCCTTCAAAGTAGGAATAAGAGATCCTCCGGAATAGGGCTTTATTCCGGAGGATCGGGCCAGTCTAGACGCTTTTTTCCGGCTTTTCCCCAAGCCGGAAAAAAGCGGCAGACATCTTTATTTAAATCCCGCGGGGGATATTTAAATCCCCCGCGGATTTCCCTATTCTGAAGTTGAAAATTAGCATGCCCCTTTCGGAAAAGGGGCCAGTGTAGACATAGCCTATGAGTCTATGAGTTGGAGCCAACCATAACAGACTGTCTTACTTGAGTCATTTTATTATACAACCAGAGTAAGAGCAAAGCACCATTCTGCCCAATATCAATCAGAGCTGCCCAAAAAATAAATAGAAACACAGCACTCCAAAGAAAATGAACAAAACCCAAACAAAGCCAGAACAAAACCCAAAGCTTAAATCCTCATCAATTGAAAGCCTCAACTAAGAGCTCCTGAGCAATCAGTAATGTCTGATAGTTCCTAGATCTCACAACAAGACATCTTTACCCAACAATGACAACATAAAAAGGGTAAAAACCAACAAGAGGTATGGTTAAATAAAGATGGGAAACGATTAAGAGAGAAGATAAGGAAATACTGCAGCTTAAAGCACAAAGACCCTTTGGCATATTTACTCCACACGTTCACAATTGCCTTTCACAGCAGTTCCTATCACACACCAGGAAATCAATGCTCAGACAGACGTATTGGGTAAAACAGGGACAATTGGGAAGGATTAAAGATCAATAACTACAAAAGGATTTAGAGATTCATGGCTAAAACCCAGCAAGAACACTCCCATCCACCACAAAGGAAACAAACCTTACATAGCAGACTGAAGGAAACTATCGTTAATAAAGACCTTAACTAGCATCTGCCATGAGAGATAATCAGTTCATCAACCATGTGAAAAAATAAACATGAGAGCAAACACCTTCAGGCAGAAATGGAGGAAGACGGGTATTCTATGTATATTCCTTGGGGCTGTGTCTACACTGCACTCCTTTTCCGGAAAAGGGATGCAGATTAGACACTTCAGAATTGCAAATCCATGGGGGATTTATATATCCCCCGCGGCATTTGCATTTACATGGCTTTTTTCCGGCTTGGGGTTTTTGACTGAGAAGCGCCAGTCTAGACGCAATATTCCGGAGAATAAGTCCTTTTCCGGAGGATCCCTTATTCCTACTTTCAAGCCCGGAAAAGGGCTTATTCTCCGGAAAATTGCGTCTAGACTGGCGCTTCTCAGTCAAAAACCCCAAGCCGGAAAAAAGCCATGTAAATGCAAATGCCGCGGGGGATTTGCAATTCTGAAGTGTCTAATCTGCATCCCTTTTCCGGAAAAGGGGTGCAGTGTAGACACAGCCAGAGAAAAAAAAACTTCATTTTGCCAGCAACTCCCTTCTCAGTGTTAAGCTACACTTGAGAGCTTGTGGCTATTCAGTTATTCTGGCTAGAGCTAGTCAGGATTGAGAATGGGGTCTTCTATCTGGCCCATGTTGCAAGGGAGTGCCCTAGCCACAAGGCTACTGGCTATTTTAGGATGCCTCTCTCACTGTCTCCCTACTTTTGGAAGGTCTCAATTTCAACACGATTTCTGAAACCTTGACAGTTTTTCCTGGACAGGAAGACTGTTTCCTGACCAGTTCTAATCCTATCAACTCGAGCAGCCCCTCTGGCTGTGAGTCCTCGATGCATGTTTTCCACCACTTTCCTTCTCTGTCTTCAATTCGGATGACAGGACAACAGATAGCAACATAATGTGGGGCAGCACCCCAGCTCTTCCAGACCAACACTCTGAACCTCCATAAGGAACCATTTGATCAAAATAAAATAATCTCCCCACTTTGTACTTGCTTCCCAGGATCTCAATCTGGTTTACAATACACTAGGTACAGAAGGTGAACAATATCCTACACTCATTCCAGATAGGTGAGCTCAGAGACATTGGGTCACAGTCTCCATATCTTGCACCATTATCGTTAGTTATTTACCATTGGGCCAAGTCAGCTTTATATCCCCCTCACATAATTGCAAATGACTACACAAGATACAAGGATCAGAGCCAGAAAAGTTAGGTGACTTCCCCAAGATCATTCAGTCTGGCTACGTCTACACTGGCCCCTTTTCCGGAAGGGGCATGTTAATTTCAGAAGCCGTAATAGGGAAATCCGCGGGGGATTTAAATATCCCCCGCGGCATTTAAATAAAAATGTCCGCTGCTTTTTTCCGGCTTTTAAAAAAGCCGGAAAAGAGCGTCTACACTGGCCCCGATCCTCCGGAAAAAAAGCCCTTTTCCGGAGGATCTTATTCCTACTTTGAAGTAGGCAAGATTTTGGTCTCTTTATTTTTGGTGAGTCATATCTTACTTCACATGCAGATTCATTCAAATCAATGGGAATAAAGTACTGCTCATTGTGAATGTGAGTGGTGGATGGGCCCCAATGTTTACAATTGGTACCACACAAGTGAGTTATTTGTAAAGCACTTCAGGGTGTGTGAATGAAAGGCATAGCACAGCCAGAAGCATGTATTTTTCTTTAGACTAGAAAGGATAAGAAACCTGGGTCTTCTGATAGTTATCAGTTTGTTACCAATGTCTTCTCACTGGAGAAGGTCCCAGCATTTAGCTGACCAGCCACCTGCATTGTAATTGCATTGCTCTGTCCCGCTAACAGGAATAAATTAAGGCTGACCTGTTCCTGGTGCTCACACTTGATCCTCGCAAGTTGAAGTCTGTGTTCCTCTTGCAAGAGGTCCATTTTGCCACTGTACTGCAACTGCAACCTTGCCTCAAGGGCATGCAGCTCTTCTTGCTGTTGCCAATGAAGCTGCCTCACCTCCTCCTCAAACCTCCTCTCCAGTTCCTCCTTCTCTTTTTGTAATTTCTCACATCTTGATGTGTTGAGGGCTGTGGAGAGAAGAAAGCCCAATTGGTAAGGACTGAGACCTCACATTTTTTTCTCTGTGAGGCCAGGACCATCCTGTTGGTCTGCATTTGTACTGCATTAGCACAGAAGGTCACCACCACAATGCTATCTGTATTAAACAAGAAACGATAAAGTTGCAGTAGATACAGAAATGATTTCCACAGACAGACACACACACACAGACACTTCAGCTCACAATACAGATTTAACAAGGCATTCTGCGGAGCCCTAGGGAAGGCAACTCTATTGACGTCATAGGTGTTACTCTGGATCTAGAATATAAATCTAGCTTTCCAGTGCCATCATCTGTGTTTCTGTTTTCGGATTCTGTTTTTTATGCTTTGTCTAACAATAATTAATAGAAGTGGATTGCTATTGCTCTCTGTTGAAACACAGTTACAAATTATTCTATCTACATGAAAAACTGGAGCCTGGAAAGAAACTAAACAGCACAGACCTGATTCAGCAACAAATCACATACAAAGAAGAAGACCTTGAAGAAATAAATGCCCACTTTTTAAAGTTATTTTCGTATTAACTGGCTCGTATGTTCCATGGACCTAGAGAATATAAATGAAAGAGCAACAATTAGGCAACAAACCATGGTGGGATTTATACTCTCATGTTCCATCATTATTATTATTCCTCTGAGCTGATGGGCACATCAGAACTGGTATAACTGGGTAGAACTCCAACAGAAGTGCCAGTGAAATCAACAAACTTTAATTTGCTTAGACCAGGGCTGAATTTGCCTGTAGAAGCATAGAGGTATTGTTCCAAAGCTCTAAGTACACCAGTGGTGTGGATCATTCTTTGTCATCTTCATCCATCTGCACTATCAGAAAGTCATCCCAATCAGCTTCTAAATCTAGTTTGGATTCAAGCTGAGAAGTCACTGAAAGAGCAAGCTTGATAAATTTTTTGAGATCTCTCAAGTAGGGATGTAAAATCCCTTCTAATCAGTTAACTGGTTAATCATTAAGTTAAGAGTGTTAAGTTGTGTTGTGAATATTAAACATCAAGGCTACATCTACACAGCTTCCCACACTATGCTAATCCACACTTCATTTGCATAGGCTTTTGCGAAAGAGGGAAGCTGTGTAGATGTAGCATTAAAGAGTGGTTCTGCCAGCTCCTCGTCCCACATAGCAAGGAGGTTGCTGGCTCTGCCGATTGGCTCCCGGCCCCATGTGGCAAGGGGTCTGCTGGCTCTTTTGCCTGCCTCCTTCCTGGCTCTGTGTGGCAGCGGGGCTGCCGGGGTTGCCGCCTGCCTCCTTTCCGGCCTTATGTGGCTGGGGGGCTACAGGCTCCCTCCTGGCCCTGCACGCTGGGGGCCCTGGTGGGACTGGAGCAGCCCTCTGCACCATGCACAGAGGGCTGCTCCCAGGTGCTGGTTATCTATCACCTGCCAGGCTGTAGGCCTTGATACAGGGGCCAGGAAGATGCAGGGATCATGGGGAAATGGCCCAGGGAACACAGGCAGCTAAGGCAGAGGGAAAATGGGCAGGACAGGGCTCCTGCCAGAGGGTCCCTGAGCTAGGACCCATAATAGTGGGCAGGCCTGGGTCCCCATATCCTCCTTACACCACACTGACTGTACAGACTGTGGCTTGTCCTGGAGGCAAAGAGGCTAGACTTTGGGGCTGCAGTTGGCCACAGTGGCAGGTGAGACTGAGGACTGTTGATATCCCTGGAAGTGGGTGTGAAAGAGACTGAAATAGAGGGCACTGCCGGAAGAAGATGCTTTAGCCCCGAGAGTGATGTGGGACCAAAGAGAGACAATGGCTGAGACACTGGCCAAGAGAGCTAATTCTCACAGTGACCAGCATTAGGCAACATGGCAGCAAGTTGAACCCTGTTAGAATCCCTCTGAGCTCCTCCATCAGATTCTCCTCTTCCAGGCACCATGGCTGATCAGGAGCCAGGCTGCCATGCCTGCCACCTGTACGTAAGCCCTGGAACCCTTTTGAGGGGCTGACAGCATGGAATGGAACCTGTGGAAGTTAGTGATCTCAGTGTCACTCCAGAAGAATTTGCCAACAGGTTTCATGGAGGAATGGTGCTGTGTCCAGCTGTTGATCCCACAGTGCCACTACCTTCACTCAGCCATGCCCCTATCAAACTCCAAGGCCCTGACGATGGGTTTTTGCATGATGAGGCTTCACAAGACTGAGGGGAGCAGGTTGGTGCTGTTACTCCTGACATGTTTCCCTCCATATGATAGTTTTGAGAGAACTGAAAAGGAGTTTGTCCTTCTCATGTCTTCTGCACCCTACCAGGAGAAGGAAAAGCCAATAATTCTGCAAGATCACCATACACAAAGTATGAAGTCCTATTACATGCCTTGATGCAGAATATAAACAATTGGTATGGACATTAGATGAAGTTCCTTTTTTCTTGTGGTTTTGTGTTATAATTTTAAATGCTCTTTTTTGGTTGTGTGACTATACAGAGCTAACTTTGGCATTAGCTTTCACTGCTGTGTAAAACCATCAAAGAGCCAAAGTACAATGAGCTCAAGCTTCAATCTCTGTATTCATTATAATTGAAACCTACTCAAGCTTCATATTGGAACTATAATGAAACCTATCTTTCAGCAACCTCTTTAATGAGACTGCACAACACACAGGACTAGGCAACGAAATGGCACTTTTTGAACTAGAAAACAGTAACGCTAAAACACAAGCCATAAGCCAACACAATAAAAAGGAAGCAAAATTCCTCAAACACAAAGCCATTGCAGAGGTCTGGATAGGAAGCCCACTAATTTTGCTAATAATGGATCTTGCTATCCGATGGTGAGTCACTGAAATTGTGATACTGAGCTTCTGCTTTATTAACATAAAGAAACTGCAGCACACATCCAGTAGCAATATGAAATAAATGCCTGCAATCTCAGATCTTCACTATGGCAGATTAGGTTAGACAGATGGACAGATTACAACAGGTAAGATGAGAATTTCAATTAGGAATTCCTTTCTGCCCTTTAGAAGATCCACAGCCATAACTTCAAAATATTGTTGGATCATTGTGTGCATTAGGAGCAATAGATCAGAGACAATACTCATGCAATTTGATCTTTCTGGATCTATGCTTAAGCATTATCAGATCAAAACTCCTTTTAAATACGATACATATCGAATGCATTTATAATCCTTCTGTACAGGGACACACACACTCACGAGTGCCCCTTTGTGGCCAAGGGCATGTGTCCACGAGCTCCTCCACTCCAGCTGGCTCTGGGAGCAGAGGTATCCCAGATGGCCTTTCTGGTCAGTCACCTGGTACCAGGCTTCTTCTTGCCCCCTTTTTTGTAGTTGTTGGGGCTTGGGAGGGGACCCAGGCCCACCCACTCCTCTGGGTCCCGGCTCTGGGACCCTATAAGTAGCAGTTGCCCGCTAAGTGTCCCTGCTGTCCACTGCTACCTCGCTCACTGCGCCACTTCCCAAAGAAGCTGCTCCATCCAGCCTTCTCACTCAGGACTCTGAGGTCAAGTTCTCACAGCACCCTGTCCACGGCTCTGCAATTTGCCATAGCTTCCCATGGCTGGTCTACAGCCACTGGACCTGGGCTTCAGCCAGGTCTGAAATCCAGCTCACGCTTGCAGCTGTCTAAGTGCCATTGTCTTCTCAGCCAGTCCCTGGGTCTGACTGTGTTGAACTCCAGTGAGGAGCCGCTAGGCCCTGGCCCAGCAGCTTCTTTATACCAGCAGCCACTCTAGCTCGCCTGGAGGACCTGTCTTCTGCTCTTTTCCCTGGGGTGGGGTGTGGCAAGTTCACCAGCCTCCAGCAGGGGGCTTCAGGCCTAGTCTACCCCGTCACACCTTCCTATGGTCTCATACTTCTGCATTTTCCTTGTTGTTACATCTTGGCCAAGGCACATCATGTCCAGACAATGAAAACAGATTCTTCATTAACATGCAGTGGAAATAATGGACTAGCAGTATTTCAAGTTCACCTGAGAGTGAACTGATGCATTGTTTAAAAAGGGCCATCTGTATGGTGATTTGGTAGGGCTTGGGGCATGTGACGAAGAGAAAACTGCAGAGGACACAAATAGTCCTCACCTTCCCTTCCCTGTCTCTCTCAGCAGACTCCAGACACCATCCCTACTGTCTGAACACAAGCCCATTAGAGAACACAGTGACTGCTCTCTTTTTCTGCCCTACAGGAGCTAATTAACCTTGAGAGATAGAGCAGAGGCAGGCTCACCAATGGGGGAGGGCAAAGGGGGCAATTGCCCTGGGGTCCAGCAATTCAGAGGGGCCCACTATCGCTGCTACTGTGGCAGCGACAGCAGCTGAAGCCCTAGGCCCTTTAAATTGCTGCTGGAATACTGCGCCACATGGTCTGAGTGGCTCTAAAAGCCGGGGGTGGGAGGAAGGGCAGCATAGGGAACTCTGGGTGGCTTCCTGCCCTGCCCCTTCCACTCAAGGCCCCACCCCTTCTGCGTGTGCAGAGCTGCCCCCCACCTTCTTCAGGGGCCCATGGAGGCTCTCAGCACCCCCTATCAGAGGGTAGTTTGGGGACATAATCTCTTTTATCTCCTTTGCACTGGTTACTAGAGCTTTCTGGGCAGGGAGGGAAGCACCCACTTGGCATCCACACAAGGGATGGTGGAGCAGCTGCAGCACGTGCTCTCTGGGAGTTTCCTGGAAGAATTCTAGCTTAAAAGTAGTCCTGGGGCCCTGGCACAGCATGGCCATGGCATCAAACTCACAATGGGGCCCTACATATAATTAATGAAATGAAAACATCAACAATCAATGATTTATGGCCAGAATGGCCTGCTTTATGGATTGGTCTGTTAATCCATATTTAATAGTCAATTTTGCACAATGAATGGCCTGGCCCCCACTTTTGGAAACATCCGTGTGCTTCATTTATAGAACAATGCTTCCGCAGAATGCACAAAGCCCAGTGCACATGGTGCAATGGCACAAGGACAATGAGAGGATGAAAGCTTGTTTACTAGCTAACAA